GGGTCCGTCCTCGGCGTGCCCTGCTGGGTGTTCTGGAGGACGCTGACCCCACAGGTGGCGGCTCCCACACTCTCTTCACCTCCCGGTAGGAAGAAGCAGGTGGAAACATTTGTTCTCAGCATGGGAAGGAGAAGGTTGGGAGCAGGGCAGGAGGAGGGGCGTTGGGGCAGAAGGGGGTGGGGAGACAGCCTGGGGTTCAGACCGGCCTCCGCGGGTCCTGCTGCTTTCACGGCACCCTCCTTTCACCTCCGAGTCTCCTCTCTCTCCTCAGGGCCCCACCTGCCCTCCAAGGAGCACTTCATGCTCTAGACTAGGGGTCTACAGACCTTCTCGAAAACAAGCCAGAGAGTCAACATCTTATCCTTGCAGGCCTCACGGTCTCCACTGCAGCAGCCTGACTTTGCTATCGCCTCGCGAAGGCAGCTGCGGACCCGAGTGGGCACAACTGTGTGCCAGCAGGCACCCTGCTCTCGGCCCCTCCTGACCTCCTGGTCCACTCTTCCAGGCTCTGGCACTGGGAGCAGCAAGCACTGGTCACTGACACAAAGAGTCAATAATTGGAGAGTCTGATGTGTTCTCTCCCACAGCCTGTAACATATTAAGAGAAAATGCGTCCGACCAAGCAGTCACCACTGTGGAATGTCAAGCGTCCTGGCTGATCTGAGCAAGAGATTCTAACGCTGGAGGGCCGGGTGGGGGTGGCTCTGGCACCTCCCAACGTGCAGGCAGATGGCACAACCCAGTGCCAAGGGGAGGGCAGGCCACCAGTTCCCACTGCCAGTTCCCACTGGCTCCTGTCTGCTGTGCTGTCCATATTATGGGCATGGCAGTGCCCCTGACTGCCCTGGGGTCTTTCGGGCAGCCTGGGGTATCACCGAGGCTCTGACTTCTCTCAGCCTGCCAGATCCCTGCTTCTCCAGGAAAATGGGCTGTGCCAAAAACGTACACAGATCGATCCACCCACCACAAGGAAAGTCTTAAGAGACACTGGAGATCCCCAGGAACCAGCAGGAGTACTGGCGGGAAGGCAAAGACACGCCTTCAAACAGCAGGGACAGAGCAGAGGGAGGGAAGGCCCATCGGTGCCAGAGGCTCCCCACCGAATGCAGCCCAGCGAGCCCTCATGAATTAAGCTGACACCCTCAACGGAGAGGAAAGCAGCCCAGCGTCTCCCACTACAGATGTCAGCACCCTGGGGGCCATGTGGACACAAACGCAGCATCCATCCGACTCCCTGTGGGAAATCCAGAGATGCTGTCTCCGGCACAGCCACCGGAGTGAAATGAATTCGCTTGGCACAAACTTTGAAACATGTATCTCAGGGCCTCTTTCCCCCCTTTCTTGTAAAAAAAAGTCTGTAATGGCTCAGGGCTGTTGCTTCCCCTGCCGGGCCTCCCAGCATTTATGACATAAACAGTCACAGATGAAAGGGCTGTGCTACCTGTGGGGCCTCGAAGATTCATTTCAGGTGGCTGGAAAAATCCCAAAGCCCATAAACAGGGCTGGAGAGATCTGAGCTTGGCCCGGGGAAGGCGAGGGCAAGGGAGGCCCAGAGATCCTCCTGCTGGGGCAGGGAGAGGCCAGAACAGGCCTCAGGCTCGGATGAGCCCCGTAAATGTCCTCCAGGGCAAGGGAGTGGAGGAAGGGGCCGGCGCTTGTGTGGGGGAGGCGGGAGGAATTCACCACCACAGGAGACAGGGGAAGGTATCTGGTTGCTGCCCTGCACCACAGGACAGGATTCCACTCTCCCAAGCACAGCTGGGCTCGGCTCAGATCCGAGGCAGCATCTAAAACCCCACAGGCAACAAGCGAGGGGCCCAAAAGAGCAGAGTCCCAGCAGCTACTGTTTGAAACCTCCTTACACACAGCTCTTCAAGGCTTCAACTGACACCCAACCAGGCCCTGAGGCTGGGCTGGGACTTGTTCATTTTGTCATTTGCTCAATAAGCCAGTACCGGGGGCTCACCTGTCAGTCACGGCACAAGGACACCCTGAGCTAGAGATGGTGAGGTGTCCTGGTCTCACAGAGTCCAGGCTACTAGAGGAAAAAACGACACCAGCATCCAAATAATCACCTACGGGGAGGACAGTGAGGAAGGTGATATGGTGCAGGTGTCACTTGAATTAAAAATGAATGACAAAGGATGAACCCAAGCCAC